TCGTAGTCAATTAAGTTTTTCCTCTTTGACAATTAGACTTTTCCTTCTTTCTCAACGTGGAAAAAGTTGTGTTGAATGAGAGCATGGCGGCTAAGATGGCATCTCGTGTCTCCTACCTTGTATATTATTATTGTAAACAGAGTGAATTTGAAATTTTAAGATGTCGCAGTGAATCAATCCCAATGAAAGTTTCATACCTTCTTATATGCATTATTAAGATTATGTGAAGAGATTTGAAAAAAAATTGTTTAAGTCGTTTCAGAGATATGCAAAAAAGGGCTAAAAGTCCAAACTTTGAATGAAGTTGCACTTATACAGTTGGTGAGAAAACGGGTTGGTTTCAAGATTGCATGAACGAAAATACACCAATTAGTTTCGTAGCATCAAAACATGATAATAATTAAGCAGCATTCTGACGCTACTTAAGAATAATTTGAGTCAATTATAACATTTTTTTAAAATAATTTATCACGGCTATTGAATAAAATTTCATTCCATAGCCAGATACTGGTGAAAATTTTATAGCGATCGGACAAGGAAAATAAAAAATTTGAAAGCGATTGAAAAATATTGGTATGGCTTCTGGAAAACTGTATCAAATCACTTTAAAACAAAAAATAATCTGACAAGACGTGTTTTCACGGTTCGTTTGCGTCTTGAAAACTCCCCCAACATTTTCTTTCAGACGTAGACGAATGCCAGATCAGCACTCACAACTGTAGCGACAATGCCACTTGCATTAACACCGAAGGTTCCTTTAACTGTAGTTGCAAACCAGGGTACAGAGGAAATGGCTACAGCTGTTCAGGTAGGTGCTTGCAAAGTTTCTTCTCTTTAAAAAAAATCTGGCAAAACGTGTTTTGAGGGTTCGTTTGCGTCTTGAATACTCTCCCAACATTTTCTTTCAGACATAGACGAATGCCAGATCAGCACTCACAACTGTAGCGACAATGCCACCTGCATTAACACCGAAGGTTCCTTTAACTGTAGTTGCAAACCAGGGTACAGAGGAAATGGCTACAGCTGTTCAGGTAGGTGCTTGCAAAGTCTCTTCTCTTTTCTTAGCTGTACTTAATATCATTTGTAATTTTATCAAGCTTATAATAATTAATTCCGTTTAACTTGTCTCCTCTTTGTAAAGAAAACGGTTACAAAGGTTATGACTGCACTTACTTGTATTGTTCCTTTTGTGTAGATATTGACGAGTGCGCCCGCGGTACTCACAACTGCCACAGTTCACTTGCTTCATGTACAAACACAGTGGGATCCTTTAGTTGTTCATGTAACAGTGCTTCCAGCGGAGATGGCAGAACTTGCAATCTACTGGTATCAGGTAATCAAATCGCCGAATACTAGGAAGATGTCCATTCACTACACCGTCACTCGGAGAAAGCAAAACTTGCATTAATATTCCATACGGTAATTATTATCACCAAGAATTAGGAATGTGTCTACTCACTAGACCCTTATTTACACTCGTTAGATGCATGTTACTTTAACCTTGATTGTTTAAAGAGGGTTTCAGTTTGATGCAAATATAACCCAGATCTCTTGTCGGCGAAGCCGAAAGCGAGATCTAGTCAATTAATCGAATTCAATTCTCTTTTGTATTAGCCACTCAAACTGCCTAAAAAGTATATGTATTGCGGGAGTGACATGAGTATTGTCATCAGCGCGCGCTATGGTGTCTGCAATTCATTCTTCACAAGATCTTTTTCTGGTCGTTTCCTCTTTTGCTTGCCTCATTACGACCCACGAATTCGTGTATCGATCATGACTGGCTTTGCACAAGCCAAGGCCCATTGAAGAACAAGCCGGAAAAGTTTGGTTTTTAAGATTTCTTATATATTAAGTGAATACTTGTATTGTAACAGTTTACTTACTAGTGACTTCTAATATGCAGGGATCGGATCGTCCATCATTCTCCTTCCCAGAGCTTCGATCCGTTTGCGGATCAGCGTCGGCGATCCACACTGACCAGGATCCAAGCTCTGGGAACGAGAATGATCGTCCATACGTCTGTTTACCAGATTTTCTTGACACAGGCCTGCCTAGAGGGAATGTGAACGAACGGGACTCAGGTCCCATGCGAGGTGCATGCCATCCCTACCCAACCTCACAACCCGTAAAGGTTGGTCACACCACCGGGGGTATAAAATCCCCACTCTCTTCGAATAGTTATGCGGGTTCTTTTACGTCCCTCAAGAAGAAATGATTGAAAGTGCTGTGAGACAGGACCTACGGTTTTTCGTCCTTATCCGAGAAGACTATGAAGTCTAACCATTTGCAGATGTTATTACAAAGACACCTCTTTCTTCTCAGTTAACTAAAGACCCTGAGTGTTGGTCCGACCGGGGTTTCAACCCACGTTGAACCCAGCCTCCGGTTAGATTGTGCTTATACTCGTTTCGTACCTACGAGACTAACTGAGCCTTTTAATTACCGTTTGAGTTTCTCACATGTTGGATTTTATTGTCTCCTGCAACCTCTTGAGTTGAGC